GACGCTGGTATCACTTACACCTGTCAGCACTAGTGCTGCTCTTAAATCCGCTTCAACGCCATCAGCAAAGAGTAAGAAGTTTTACAGCAGCGAAAAGACTTTGGAAAGTACAAGTGTATTATCCTATACTTCAGTTAATGGCACTGCTGCCATCGTCAGTAGCTCAAATTTCCGTACATGAAGTGAGAGAAACGTTATTCCTGAAATGTGAATCTGTTGCTTATTGCATCGAATTGTCTTGTGATTGTGCTTAATGTCTTGCATGAAACGAACCTCATTTTTAAATTTCTTCATACGCAGGCATCTCCCTACTTAGACGACTAAATAAATTTTGCGCTCATTTTAGCCTCATGTTGAATTTGATAGATAAACTGTCACGTCTTAGTATTTATTACAATCCAGAAATGTTAATTTTGTATTCACACCGCGAATATCACGCTAATACTATGTTTTCTACAATTCCAATTAAGATCTTAGAAAATTTCGTGATGTGACTGTAGGTTTTCGAACAGAATGATCGCGCTAGCGGCATTAAAGAAATGTGCAGCAGAGGTTCTGAAAACTTCCGTAAGGGTGCAAACTTCAGATGATAAAACAAGAGCTCATTGCTGGCCTATCCAATCACCTGACTGATACGAAGGTGGGTTTAAACGAGGTAAACACTGCACTTAATTCCGAAAACGTCGAAAAGCATTGCAGTAACAACTCATGCTTTAGTGAAACAGGCTGGAAGAAATTCTCGCTGACTTGCAAAAAGAAAGTGAACTGTAATATTAGCAAAAAATGAAAGCATTATTTACTCTCTTTGTAATGCACGCGGGAAAAGATGCCTGCGTGATTTGGGCAATTTCGAAGTAATGTAACGCGCACACTTCAAATGTTTTGGTTTAACAAATAAGTAAAGCCATAACATTGAATTTTATGAATGCCATACTATGGAACGTTTGAACAGTACTTGAAGCAATTTTACAGTCTCAGTTTGTAATGAGGACCATCAGAACGAATTCTTTTGATATAAACAGCTACATATTTGATACGTAGCAAAAAATGAAAATAAATCTATTACAAAATGAACAGTCTTCGAGAATTATTAAATAAAACTAAAGTAGCAACCAAAAGCTGCAAGCACTATAAATAATAATTATACGGGATTAAAACGACGAAGATGCTGTGTAAAGATGAAAAATCTATTTCTCACTTTACACCAGCAGCACAACTGCACCGCCCCATTGCTTCTAGTAACCTATGGAGACCATTTAGGGGGACAAGTTTTTACGGAGTTTAAGGGCCTACAGTGCCTAGGACGCAGGATTGCGTCTCAAACTAGAGTTAAACTAAAGTGAATTTGACGGAACAAGATTGCCATAATTCATAGGTGAATGTGTATTACA